TTCTAAGGTGCCGAGAAGCACGACATCAAGGAGGAGCGGAAGGAGAATGGGAATGGATGGAGGCCGGGCAGATCATTACGATCGGCCGACCATCAGAAGCCGTCGATCGCCGCGTCGGCCGGGCTGGAGGAGGAGGTCGAAGATAGACGATGATGAGGAGGAGGAGGAGTGGAGGAGGGACGTCGATGAGGAGGAGGATACCGAACTGTCGAGGACGACGAGGAAGAGCAAGCCGACGAGCCGGAAGCGGAAGACGAGGAAGAAGGTTGGTTTTCGTTCTTGTTTTAGAACTGAACTTTTTCCTAAAAGCCCAAATAATATGCCTAGAAATGCAATAGCGGGTCTTTTTATTGTGTTTAATGAAATTTCGCAAAATATAGAATAAAAACAGATTTAGTAAATTATTTTAGAAACCCTCAAAAAATTGAGATTTTGAAATTTATATTGTAGTAAAAAAATAGTATGTTTTTACGTTTAAGAATAGTAGGGCTAATCGGGAAATCGCTACTCGATTTATATTAGAACCCCCCCGATATTACAACAGTACCGCATTTCAAAAAAATGCAATTTCTGGGTTTTACTGTGAAAAATAGTCTTGTTTTTACCGTATTTCCGCGAATATAATTACGCTAGTTATATTAGAAAATTTGGCTGCCCCCCGTAACGCAAAATTACCCCACTTGCAAAAAAGTGCCATTTCTAGGCTTTCTATGAAAAATCGTGTTGAAAAACGGTATCTCCGCTAAAATAATCCCCAAAAGGGGCACAAAACGCAAAAAACGCGCCGTAGAGCAAACGTGATAATTCACCATTTTTTTTTGCAGAAGAAGAAGACGAGCAACCGGAAGCGTCTGGCAGTTCGACCTCCGACTCCGACGGTTCCGAGTCTGAGGCAAGCGTCGAGCCTGACGAGGATGAGTCCCAACCCGGCAGCTCGAAGGCCCCGCAAGTGGCCCCGCTCAAAAATGGCCCACTTCCGAATGGTCCGGGAAGACCGGAGAATGGGACGAGGATTCGCATAAATGGAACGGCCACAAATGCACATCCAAAACTGCGACCCGACGAACGGACACCCGAGAAATTGAGGGAAGAGCTCCGCAGAAAGTTGCTAAAAGTGGGTTTTTTAAAGCTCTTTGGTGAAATTTGCGATTTTGGTACTGGGTCGTTATCGGGGGTCCAAAATTTGAGCTGGGATCATGTCAGCTATCGTTTTTTGGTTCTTTCGCATTATCGGGGGTCAACTTTTTCTTAGGACCTAATTTTTTGGATAGATGAATAGTGAAAATGTTTCTAAATGATTTTTTCCTATTCCTAAAGGTGGAAAACTATACAAAGGTTTGTTAAAAAATGTAGAAAATGTTGATTTTCAACCAAAAATGGCCGATTTTGACCAAAATTGCGGCTTTGTCAACATTATTTAAAGTTTTTAGGCATTTTTTCCAGTTTAAATATAGTGATTTTAAGCTGTTTTTTACTACTCTGAAACGTAAAAACTACAAAAATTTTATTAGAAAATACAAAAATGCTAATTTTTCGACGAAAATTAATCTATTAAATCTATTAAAAATTGTTCGAATTTTTTGATTGTGTTTGCACTTGAAATATCATTAAATTTTACTAAAAGTGGTTTTACTATTACATTATTCAGAATTTATGGCCTCCCCCGATAATGCAAAAGCACCGAAAAAATTGTATTTCAATACTGAGTCGCGACGAGGCGGTGTATTAGTAATTAACCCCCCCATAACGCTCCAGAACCGAAAAATTCTTTCATAGCTAGAAACTGACAAGAAAAGACAATTTATCCCAATTTTTGCAGGTGCGCACGCTGACGCCAGAACAATTGAAACGGTTGAAAGCACGTCTCACCCCAGCCCAACTCAAACGACTCCGGGCCAAAGCGATGGCTCGGCTTGGGCCGAAGGCGAAGCGTGTCATCCAGATGCATCAGATAAACCGGAAGCAGCTGCTGCGCTTTCGACGGCTGGCCCGGCTGAAGCAAAAACTGGAAAAGGAGCGGATACCCGTCCCGCCGGCTGTCACATATCTACATAATCATCTCCATCATCGCTTCCAGCTGATGCGATTGCATAAACAGGTCAGAGAAAATTTAAAATACGTTTTTTTAGTAAATTTCTGGTACTTTCGCGTTATCGGAGGGGACAAAGCTTTTTCTTAGAGTTTAATTCTCTCTAATTCTAATCTGAGCCTAATTTTTTCCAGCGGAAGTGTTTATAAACGGTTTTTTATCATTTATAAGCGTAAATCTTTGCAAATTTGGATAAAAAACATACAAAAATATCGATTTCTCAACCAAAAAATGTCCTGTTTTCGCCCAAAATCGACGAAAAACTAGTCTTCTAAGTTTTTTGTTGTTGTTTTCTACTTGAAATATAGTTATTTTTAACTAAAAACTATTAACATACATATTACCAAGTTACTAGGCATTTCTAGACTTGTAGAAAAATTTTCATCCGCCCCCCCGATAATGCAAAAGTACCAAGTTCGTGAAGCGGAAACCAAGCTTTGGCCCTTTTTGTCGGGGTTTTCATCAATTAACTGTTTTGGCTTCAAAGCTAGTTAAATTCTGCTTAAAAAATTTTAAAGCTCTTTCTCGCTTCGTTTTTCATGATAATCCGGTATTTTATAGAAAAGAAAAGCAGCAATTGAGAAGGTATTCGCTATTTTTAAATTTTTCAAATATTTGAGCCAAGTTTTACCTAAAATCCACTTTTTCTAGGCGGCCCGCGACGCATCGCAGCGCTCCTACCGTGCCGCACTTCCGCTACGCGTACAGCGCCTGAAGCGAGCCCTCGACATTTCGCGCTTCGTCGCCCAGATGGAGAAGCTGCTCGCCAAGCCGATCAAGTGCGTTTTTGGGCGTAAAACGGCGTCATTTTGAAATTAGGAATTTTTTTACTGGTTTGGAAACAACTTGTATTTAAATTTAGCGAATTTACCGATTCAACGCCCAGTTTTAAAAGCGAGCGGTAATTCAAAAACACGCCTTTTTATCTGCTACTATTCTTAAATTGCGGTTTTTAAATCTTTATTACTATTGCTAATTTTGGTGCTTTCGCATTATCGGGGGGGAGGATATATTTTTAATAGTGTTTTAGCGAAATTTAACGACGTTCAAGGGGGAAAACTAAAAAAACGTTCAAAAATCTGAACGATTATGGTATCAAAAAATGGATATTTTTGTAATTTTTGTATTCGTATAATTTTGTAATTTTTGTAAAGTTTTGGCGTTTAGAAATAGCTAAAAAAATATTTGAGAAACTGAACCATTTATTTTAGAGTTTTCTTAGTGTTTTGAGCAAACTTTGAAAAAGTTTTTAGTCGAAAATCGGCCATTTTTGGTCGAAAAACCGATAGTTTTGTCGTTTTCCATGAAAATTGTACATTTTTAGGTTTAGAAATTGTAAAAACTGTTTAAAAATGCTGGCACTACTTTTATTGGAAGAAATGTATCCTAAAGCCCCCCCCCGATATTGCAAAAGAACCATTATTGTTAACGAGCTACTTCAACCAGTTTTTTTTGCAATTTGCCCGCTTCAACGCGCTTGGTTCCAGGATTCCGGGCCTCTACTCGTCGGTGAAGAATCGTTTCGGCCGTCCGCTGTCGCTCTTCTCGATCAAAAACGTGTGGCCGAGTCTGCAAGAACGTCTCCACCACGCCTCCCGCCTCTACAATTTTAGGCAATTTTTTAAATTCTACTTTTTTAGGGGTTTCAAGGATTTTTATTTTTGGAAGAAATTGCATGCTTTTGCTTAATACTTGCTGAATTTTGAGAAGAGCACTTTGCGCTATTTTGTTAATAACGTTTTTTAGTCAGCCCAGATCGCGGGAATGGCTTCACGAGTTGCTCGTCGACGACTCGGATTCCGAGTACGAGGCCGACCATTTCCAATTCAACGAGGAGGACATCAGGACGCTGCTCAAGGTTGGTGGAGTCGTGGTTTTCCTAAAAAAACTCTCCCCAATTTGACGTAGAAAAAAAATAATTTTTGCCATTTTCTTGGCCCATTCCAAAGCCCAGAAAATGGCGAATTTGTCAGTAATGAAAAGGACACCTCTTCAAAAATGCCTTCCGACGCCTTTTTTAAAACTTCTTTAAAAAACTTTTTTATTTTTTAAACGCTTAAACTTTGAAAAACTAAACTTTTGAAACGCCAAGCTTCTCAAAAATTTCTCTCTAAAACACGCGCTTGCTCAAAACCAAAGGTTCTGGTTCGTTAGCGGGGGGGGAGTATTTTTAAAAGATTTATCAATTTTCCATTTAAATTCCGTTGCTAATCAATTACGTTTCAGATCCATCGCCGTCGGCGTGCCATCCAAAAGTCCTACCACCTCGATGCCGCCGGGAATACGGTAGGCTTTTATGCCTTTTCGTGCTCCCAAAATTGGTGCAAATTGGAATTTCATAATGCCGATTTTCAATGTCGAATTTTGTCGCGTAGAATTTGGGTGTTTTTACCGGGAGATTAGTCTATATAAATTTCTACATTCTTAACCTTCGAAATAATGACATTTTTTGTTGAATTTTTGAAGTTATTTTAGACTTATAAAAAAGGAAAACTTCATTAAAATTATGCAAATCACCAATAGCTGGAATGCATGCATTAGCTGGAAATACCGTTTTTTTTGTGTTTTTCGATGGTCTTGATGGCGCTAAATTATTTTCTCCAAAAATAAAAAAAAACAATTAAATTGGCTCGCTTTTTTTAAGAATTCATTAAAATAATAAAAACATTAAAATTTCCCTGGAAATACAGGTTTTTCGCGTTTTTCGATGACCTTGATGCTGCTAAAGTATTTTGGTTATAAAAACACCCTTTTTTCAGTGCATGTACTACGGCGCGGGTCTGGTCAGCCTCAACGATCAATTCATGGACGGAAACGGGCTGATGCGACACTCCGTCTACCGATAGCGGCTTCTCCTCCCCCCCTCCACTTCCGCTCGGCTACTGTATCGAGAAGCAAATCGGGTTTGCCTTGTTTCGCCCATTTCGGGGGCTCCCGGATTTTTTAAAAGTGGCCAATCCTATCAAAATTTAGTTAGCCCCTAGAATATCGTGATTTTTTGCCGATTTCGGGTATGATAAAGAGGTTTAAAATTAGATTAATTTAAATATAAATTAAATTAAAGTAAATTAAATAAGGTATTAAATTCCAAAATGAACATAAAAATATGAAATTGTCTCGAAAGCTCAAATACACTATCGAAAATTAGTAAATAAGCCGAAAATGCTCGGAAAGTTCAACTAATTAAATTTCAACGTAACTTCTAAATTAAATAAAAGTTAATTTGGAGGATTTTCGATTTGATACCTAGAGCTTGAAATAATAATCGTAATAATAATAATACTGGATTTAAAAATTTCGTAAAATCACCGGAAAATTTATAAAGGAATATTTAAAAAATATTTACAAAGTTTTTCAGAAAAACATTAAAATTTAAAAAATTTAAAAGAATATTTAAATAAAATCGGTAAATTAATCTGGCCGCTCAAAAATCCGCAAACCACCCCCGGGGCCGAACAGGGATTTTTTTTTGGATTTTTGATACAGTACCCCCGATAAGCGATAAGCGACTAGCTTTTGCTCTCTGTGTATTTTTTGATATATGTACCCTCTCGCCCCTGTCTCCTCATTCCCAGGCTTAATACGTGTATCCCGTTGATCTCTCAATTTGCGTGCCCCCGAAGAAGAAGCCTTTTTTTCAAAAGAACAAGAAGAAGATGCGCTTCAGATAAATATATGCCATTTTGGTATGGGGGATCCGGACGGAAAACACGTACCATGCGGGGGGAAACACTTTAAAGGGGCACTTTCAGCAAACGGGATAAACAAATCGCGCCAATGTCGCGCGCGAGTCGCGGCCATTTTCGCGCGCGTCTCGTGCACGAGACGGTACCGAGACGCGCACGAGACGCGTGCGACATGGTCGCGAGTCGCGCACGAGACGCGCCGCGGCTGGGCGGCTTTCGGTAGGCTATTAAATTGCATATTTTGCTCTTATAACGTGTAATTTGCTGTGTTTTGTGCAGTACAAACGCTTAATTCGCCGCCGCGACATGAAATAATCATCAATATCATAGAGAACAAGTTCTGCAGCTCCGTTTTTCCACGAATCGGGGGAAAAAGTTGCATGCGAAAAGTCTGCGCCTCTCACCAGGGCGCGCTCTCTAACCGGAAATACATGCAAATTTTTCCACGTTTGATGGAAAACCGGCGCTGCTGAAAGTGCCCCTTTAAAAGCCTTTAAGCTTTAAAAACCTGTAAACTAAACTAAAGAACTTTAAACCTTTAAATTCTATAGAAACAGCAAAAACGAAATTGTATGTAGAATAAATTGAATCAAATAATAATATGAATTAAATTAAAAACGAATCGTATGTATGTAAACACTACATTCTCGTTGAGTTTTCCGTTGTCGCGACGCGCAACGCGCCCGCTTCGAAGCCATGATCGCAACCGATTACGCGATGCAATGCGGGCGCGCTTTACGCGCAGACGCGGCGAGGTGCTTTTGCATTATCGGGGGGGGGGGTATCAGGGAAACCGAATTTTTAACCAATTAATCATTTTTAACGTAATATTAGGGTATTTTTTTACTTTTTAGTAACCATTAGCTATATCTTAAGTCGAAAAACTATCTAAAGAATTGAAATTCTACTTTTTCGTCGAAAATCGATATTTTTTGTATTTTTGAATCAGAATTTGGAAAGTTTTTACGGTTAGGAATAGTCATAAACACTTTAGAAACTTTTTCTTTATTTTCGTTAGATTAGAAAATATTAGAAAAATTGGATGTGAACGAAAAACTTGGTCCCCCCGATAATGCGAAAGAACCAACGGCGATGAAGAGTCACCTGGGATTTTGCCGTACCCACAACCCTAAAAAACCTCCTAAAAATCTAAAAGTTAAAAATAAACAAAAAATTTTAATTCGTTTAAATCCTCTCATAACTCATTTAAATCCTGTTTAGTTTAATGTGAACCAATTGTAAAAAATTCTGGCGCTTCGCGTTAACTTAAAAGATAAAAGCCGAGAAACGACAAAGAAAGAAGAGAAGCAATTTTTAAATCAATTAAATAATGGAAAATAGCTTTTTCATCATTCATTTAAATTAGGTAAAGAACCCTAGAAATTGTCTGTACGCTTTTTACGCTAGTTTTTTCGTTTTAATTCACGAATTCACGCGTTTCTAAAAATAGTTGCCCCTGTGATGCAACGCCGTCGGCTTTTCGGCGTGTTGGCCAGTGTTGTTGCTTCGTGACGACGCGGCCACCTCATCCAACAACAATTTTTCGGCGGGCTGGCAACCGTCGTAGGCCTCGAGAATGAGACCGTAGCTTTTTAACCTATTATTTCTGGGCTTTTCGATAATTTCAAGCTCTTTTGGTACTGGTCTGTTAGCGGGGGGGGGGGATTTTCCCCATTAGTTCCGTACCGTACTAAAGCGTAACTTAAACCAATTTATAGCATTTTTACAGGATTTTTAGATATATAACACTAATTAAATGTTGACTTTCTCGTCAAAAAAGCTATAAAAATAACGCGAAAAGCAGGATTTTAAATTTTCGGTAAGTCTTAAAATATTTTTTACCAGATGGTTACAGTCGCTTCGCGACTGCAACCATCTGGCCTTCGGGCTACCCTACATGTCTCACTCCACCACATCCTTTCCCACCTCCATCAATGCCCCCATAGCCGAAATCCCCTTCAAAAACTACCTAAATACCTTCATGATGGCTTCAGATACCCCCCATGGCTGAAATCCCCCTTCAAAAACTACCTAAATACCTTCCCGATGGCTTTAGAGCTTTAAATAATTTAAATAATGAATTAACATAATTAAAAGTATTAAAAAGTATTAAAGTAACTTAAAAAGCTATTTGGGCGCGGGAAAGGGCCTGGGGAAGAGGGGCGAAGAGAAAGGGGGCGTGGCCTCCCGGGAGAGGGGCCCCCACTCGTTTTATTAAGGCGCCACTTTCAAAGTTAATTTTAATAATTTAAACTACAACTTTTTCATATTTTTTTATCAGTTTGGGGGTTTCTGACCACGCTCTATCCGAATCCGAAGAGAGCTAAGCTCTAGCTCCTTTCCCCTTCGAGTTGAATTCGGCTTCAGACAGACGGACGGACGGACGGACGGAGACCACAACAAAATTATTATAGTTGATGGTTTTCTAGCAATCAAAAACTACTAAAAGCACCAAAAATACGTTATATATTCTTAAGAGGATGCGTAGGGCAATTAAAATTTGTCCCCCCCCCCGATAATAGACCAGTACCGATCCTTTATGCGCTCTCTGCTAGCCTTCCCCGTCCTCAAGAATCTTTGCTAGCCTGCCTTTTCTTAAAGAATCTCTGCTAGCCTGCCCCGTCCTAAAGAATTTCTGCTAGACTGGCTTTTCCGAAGGAATCTCTGCTAGATACCCGTCTTCCCGCGAAACATAGTGCGTACGTGCATGTAATCCGTATTCTGGGGTGTCGGTCGTAGTGGTATAGGCGGTGTGAGGGTAGAGCATTGTTTATCCGCGGCACCCCGGTTTGCGGCTTCTTGTCTCTCCCATATACAGAGAAAGAGGAGGAACGGACGGTCCCGCAGCGCGAAAGAAGGGCCCGGTCAGCCGGCCCAGCGCGCCCCGCGCGTCGACTGGTTCAACACGCTGCCGCGCTGGCCAGCGCCGGCAGCTTGACGACGTCAAGCTGGGCCCTGGTTTTTAGGTTCTAGCTATCGGCGCATAAAGTTTGTTTTTTTTTTTGGTTTAAATAAGGTGTTTTTTTGTAACTTTCCTTTTCTGGATTCTTTAGAAAAAGGCAGCCTAGCAGAGATTCTTTTAGAAAGGGCAGGCTAGCAGAGATTCTTTAGGAAAGGGCAGGCTAGCAGATATTTCTTAGGCAAGGGCAGGCTAACAGAGATTCCTTAGGAACAACTAATACAGCCCATAAATAATCGTTTTTACTTATGAAAACTTTTTTGCTCACCTGGCAAATTCCCTAATTACCCCTGCTAGCTACCCCCTTGAAATCCGCCAAGATGTCACTAAATTCGCCCCGGATTGGGCTCTATCGCTTTGCTATGCATTTCCAGAAAGAGGAAGAGAGAGAACGAGAGAGAGAGAGAGAGAGAGAGAGAGAGAGAGAGAGAACACCGACTTCAGCTGACACGTTGTTTGCGGCGTTCGACGCGTCGTCCGCGTCGAGTCTTGACCTATTTGGGGGGTTCGGTCTTGTCCCCCGCATCGGGTTCTGTGCCCGGCGCTCGCGCTATTCATCTCAATTCACAGAGCCCCTCCTTCTCTTATCCCAGGCGTCAATTAGCCGCATGTGTACAATATTAGACTAGGATTAAAAATAATTTCCTCGGAGATCTCTGCTAGTCTGCCCTTCCCCAAAGAACCTCTGCTAGCCTGCTATTTCCTAAAAATCTATGCTATCCTCTCGGTTTCCTAAAGAATCCCTGCTAGCCTCCCCATTTCTTAAAGAATCACTGCTTGTTCTCCATCACCTCGAAAAAGCTTTCTTTTTTGTATGACGTTTCACGTTTTTTTATGAACCTTTTTTGGGAAAATTACCCCACATTCAATTACGCGCTGGAATTCCCATTTTTTAGCATTCCGTTCCGTTCCTGTTTCCACTTTTTTGGGGCCAATCCGGCACTTTGCCTCGTTTCGATTGTGAGTCAAAGTGGTCAGCCCGGTGTGGTGCTTTTGTGACTCATCGACCCGGGCGATTATCTCCACTGGCTGGTAGCAGACAACTTTCATCGCATGTTTCAGTGGTTGTACCGATCCCGAAAAGTTGCCAAAAATCGTTTTTGCCATTTTTACTAGTTTATTTTGATGTTCTAGTACTTTCAAGCTATTTTGCGTCATAATTAAGCTTTAGCAAAATTGTTAAAATGCTTTAGGTAGA